AACTCAGCCTTAAATTAATTCCTGGTGTGGTATGTAAACATCAGCACCTGGGAGACAAAGTTAGGTGGGCGTGGTACTGGCCCACTACACACCCTCGTGTGCTGTGATGGCCTTAAGAGGTGCTCACTAGCAGCAGTTGCCTCAGCAGTCTGTAAGATGTAATAAGGAATCTCTGCATGTGTGTGAGTGTTGAGTGGCGGTGCAGTGGTTAGCGTACTATTCCATGAACCTAGAGATATGAATTTGACTCCTGGCCACAACTAACATCAGTGGCAATTTTCTGATCGAGTCCTGGGCCTCCCGTAGGTTGATTTAGCTTCAAATGAGTACCTGGTGGGAGGCAAAGGTGGGTCGGTGCTGAACACTCCACCACCTCTTGTGCCGTGTCAGCCTTAATAGGTGCTCGCTAACAGCATAATTTATGTGCAAATGGATAGGCTGCAAAGCCTCGCGTGACTAACTGTCGGGCAGATTAATCACTGCCGGAGAATTGCTCGTGCCCCGACTACTGCCCGTGACAATGCAGGATCATTTCTTACGTCGATCGCTTTGAGTAAACGCTCGCGATCTGCACGATATTCCAATTCTTACAGGTGGTTCGTTTGGCACCGAGCCACGTGTATGTGTCTGCTCGAGACTCGATCTACCTTTAGATCAATCTCGCCAGGCTCAGCGTGTGCTCCTGGGCTGCACCGCCTGTGCCTGCCGTGCAGGATTGCTCGCCCAGCAAGTGTTCTTGACACGTACACTACTTTGTCAAGGCCTCTCCACGCTCTGTGTAGTTCAGGAGGAATTGGTTCGACCACACTTCGCCACGCTGGTCAATGCGGGGTCGTGAGCGCTGCAGGGCCAGTTCACACGTCACTCGCCTCTGCTGCTAACCGTGGTCAAATATCAAACTCAGATCACCAGGTTAATTGCGCAGTGCGCTAACTGCTTTGCCACCACAATGAATAAGGCATTGACGTTGTTCAAACGTGTATTGTGTGATTGCTTGTCTGGCATTCATTTGACTAAGGGGCATTTCTCATCCATCGCATGCCGTCTCCCGTTATCTTCATGACACTGTTTTTTGGGGGGTTTTCAGAATGTGCGGCTAAGGTCGCGGGCTAAATAAGCATTATGCGATGTGTTTTCCGTGTTTAAGCCAGCGTCTAAAAAAACGGATCGTATTAATTTATTTTCCATATATACACACACGCGGCATACGTCTACCGTACTCCAAGATGAGACTCTGTGGGGAAATAAACTCTATTAGTAGTCTGTGTTTTTACTGCGGGTGGCTGCGAGTTCCATGTATGGGCATTGTGAAGAGCGGCTGTATCACCGAGCAATTTACAACATACGATGACGCAGTCGCTGGACGAATGCACGAATTGTTTAGGACGGGTGGGGGTTATGGGAACCCCCAAAACAAGCATTGATTGACTTTGCGAGATGTGGGAAGCTTTCGTTTCAAACAATTCCTCGGGCATCCCCTCGCTGTGCATTTTGCACCACCCCTTGAGGCAGCATGCCGCGTGCGGCCGTGACGCAGCCCAAAGTCAGCACGGCCTGCCGGTGAAAACGAAACGAGTCGTTTAAAGGACGTCAAAAACAACAAACACGTGCTTTGATTTCACTCGGAAAGAGGTCCCACCTCATGCGTGAAGGTTCGGCAAAATCCCGTGGCACCCTGACAACACGCGCATCCGGGCATCCTTCAGCTGCCGACACAAAACGGACGGCAGCAACAAAAACCTCCGAGACCGTGAGAGCGCTTTTCAAGAAAAATCAAGAAAAATCATCGTTTTCGGTCGCTCTCCGAACAAACTCCACCCACCACCGACTCCCTGGAAGACCCCGGGACCACGGGCGTCCGAACAAAGCATTGTCCGGGAGCTCGCCTCTCGGCGCGGCACCACGCCGAGATCGGGTTACTTTGTTGATGCCCGGCTTGCCAGCGTGCGTCGTCGTTATGGGCATGGCACGTGCAAACTCGCCTGCTCAGGGATTCCTCGAACGCCCTTCGACCGAAGCTTGACGATTCAGCCAGCACTGGGAGCAGGCGATGTCCACTTTCTAACAGCGATTATTATTATTTATCCAGCGTCCCATTGACGGTTTTTTGCTGGGGTCAGCGGGTTCTGACGGGGGAGAGTTGGAGGGTGCTGGTTTATTCCCAAGAATATTTGAGGATGCCTCTTCTTAAGCGTCACCACACTGAACAAACCACCAAGGCAACAACTAAAGTGCATTTTTATTTTGTCTATCTAAGCGCATTGTTGTTTTATTTCGATTTAAAGCTTTCGTGACTGCAGGGATTCATCTTCTTGGTTCTTTCGGTAAAGTCACGTAGAAGGGAAATAATAAAATAATAAAAATAAAACATAATAAAATAATTCTCACGACGTTTCGGCCACAACGCAAGCAGCCGTCTCCCCGACAGACCTGGTCTTCACCTGCTTGCGTTCTGGCCGAAACGTCGTGAGAATTATTTTATTATGTTTTATTTTTATTATTTTATTATTTCCCTTCTACGTGACTTTACCGAAAGAACCCAGAAGACGCATTGTTGTTGTTATCGTTGTGGGTCTGTGCTGCGGTTGGTGACTTTCCTATAGATAAACTTGTCCCTGCCGTAGGAATGTGGAATTTCCACCACCGGATCAGTGCCATCATCGAAAGATGAGTGCCACCTCAATGGTCACTTGAGCAAAAGAAAATCACTTGGTCTCTTTGAATTGTACTCATGCTGCAATCAGGACGTGTATTAGACATTGTTTGACATGCCTAACAAACCTTAGGAGCCCCCCCCCCCCCCCTTGTCACACGGCGTCACAAAAAGTCAGACCCCCCCCGCAAATATGACGTCACAAAGCTCTGCCCCCTCCCCCCAAAAAAAACATATTTCCATTTTGAAAATAAAACATGCTTCAAATCGCTTTAAAATGTTGGCATTGTAGTGCGTATTTAATGTGGCGCTGCACTCTGATGTTGTGATGTTGTAGGAGAAAACATCAAAAAGTCAATTTAATTAAGTAGAACGTGTTGTCTATATTTATTTAAAGTTGCGCATTTTGATGTGACGTCACATTTATCACCCCCCCCCCTCGTCACACATCGTCACAAATGTCTGACCCCGCCTCCCCCCCAGGTGCGTGACGTCATTTATGGACGGCCCCTTAGGTGGAATAGTCTCCAGCCAATTTTCATGGCAGACAGCATTATTCATTTGTTCCTTCAAGCGACGAGTTCATGCGGCGCTCGAATGGAATTGCATTTACGCATGATCGCATTTGCAGTCGATTGTGCTGTGCAAATTCGCCTGCGATGCCTCTCCGAAGAGCACGAGATACGACTGTAAGCCAGGCTTGTGAGTGCGGAGCGAGGCAGGGGAAAAGTTGCTGTCAGTTTGCGTTAGAGCCCCCGCAACAACGACTGCGGATTAAGTCGCGCGAATGAAACGTGTAGGTTTACTTCCGCTGCGGCGATCAATGTAAACGTGGTTCATCTGAACGGTCGGCTCGTGCACACACACGCACCTTGCACACAAAGACGCGCACACACGTGAAACGACCTTTGCAGAGCCGTGGCTCAGTCCCATTTGCACGCACCTTTACATCAGCCTCACCTTAACAACTCTTTTCAACCAGTCTACACAACAAAGGCTCATTCCTAGCAGCAAGCTTCAGCCGCACCGAACCTCAAAAATAATATTCAGGGCCTACCTTGGCTCCTCCCACCCTCAAACAGCATGTATACAAGGACTGTTTTCTTGGAATTGCTCTTACTTGATACAGCTATCGTGCTGTGACGGTTCCACCTGAAGACGGAAGCTTGTGTTGCCTCCGAAACGTCGTGATTTTCATTTTATTTTTAGTTTACTTTTATTAATTTGTATTTTTTACCTACGTGACTTTACCGAAAAAACCTAAGAATATGAATCCTTGCAGTCACGAAAGCTTCAAATCTAGAACTTTGCAGAGCCGTGGCCAAGCAATGTGTATCAGTTACTCCGTCATACTGCGCTTGCGTATTGACTTGAGCTTGTGTATGAAGTAAGGGAAGTGGTGTGATATGGAAAAATAAAAATTTGCATAAACGCAAATATAGTTGAGCGTTTGGTTAATTTTTTGCTGTGTAGTATTGGTCTGAAGAGCATTGCAATGGAAATTTAGGGATAGATTTGTAATTCAGAGAGAGAAAAACCACCCCATTATGTGCTGTGCATGCATTATTAGAGGATTTAACCAAACCGAAAATTCTAAAAGTGATCCAATGAGACTGATGGCAACTTTACTCAAAATTTCAACACATTTCAGGTGTTCAAAGAATAGGAACTGGAACACAGACTATTTTACTTTGAGAATGCTTTAAGGGCCCATAAAGTAATAGGTTAAGAGGATTGTTATTGCTCTAAGCATGCAATCGGGAGGAGCAGTGGACGGTCCAGGAGTAGACGGAGTTTGAATTCCAGCCATGGCAAATACCAGTGACATGGCTCTACACCCCACCACCCTCACCAACAAGAACCCTCACTCGCGTATTGAAGTATAGTCAAATAAACCCCACAAATGGCGATGGTGTCGGGAGGGTTTCCATCCAGAAGTGGATTGACAAAAGGGCTGTAAGTTAATGTCACCGTTATTTGAATGGTCGAATCGAGTGAAATGCTGCATTTTTGTAATTTTATATTGTATATTATAGCTATTGTATATTTTAGATTTTATTGTATTCAATTTTTACATACTTTAGCTCCTTAGTATTAGTTAGACTTGTACCTTTAGTATAGTTAGACTTGTAAACCACTTATTTAAGATTTAAGATTCCTAAATGTTGAATGTATGCACCTTCCGGCCAAAGTAAATTCCTTGTCTGTGCGAACTTTCATGGCGAATAAAACCCTTTCTGATTCTGATTCTGCCGTGCTGCAAATGTCAAGACCGGGATATGAGGACACTTGAGAATGTTTGAGCGGCTGACGTTTGCGAGCGCTAAAAATCACAAGAGACACGAGCTGCTGGTACAATCTATTTATTTGTTAAAAACATTTAAAACACACCATTTCTTGAACAAACTACTGTGGACCTGTACAATAAGCCTTCAAAATCAGGCTAAAAAATCCGTCTGGTGGAGTCCGCCAGACACGAACTGACAGCTACGTTACACAGTGCCACCGAGCATCATTCGAGGCTTGCGTTTGTAAATCAATCGGCATATTCACAGAAAGATGCAATCGTGAAACGTATAATTTCAACGTACACAATCGACGTAGGTGTATGTACACACACAGTAAAAAGACATGTTTTTTTTTCTTCTTCAAAATTAAAGTAACTGCATTGTTTAGACAATGCGTTGTGGTCGAAGGTTTCCAATTGGCTCGAGCCAGTGTGACCTTGGCGATTTCGTTGAGTTTCTTTTTGCTTATTTCACCTTTTTTTTTTCAAAAGGCCCTCTCGGTACAAACATGCACGGGCACGTGGGTGCGAACACAATCCAATGCAGAAAAAACAAAAAGCACCCTCACCGATGTGTGGAGGTGCACCCAGACTGGCACGATATCCTTATCGGTGTTGATAGTGTCATAGTATAAAGCGTTCCGTTTATTTAGTTTTATTATTTTACGTTAATCCATGTGAGTGCGATGTCTGGCCCCACGACACAACAACCTTCATTAGATATGTTCGTGTGGTGTATTCTGTGCCACAGACTTATTTCTATAACATGCGAAGCGACTACAATCGGCAAATCAAGTGCACCATATTGGAATATAAAACAAAAATAACGAACCAAAACTTAGCAAGCAATGTTTGTGTTTTAAGTAAAGTGTAATGACTTACTGTGTTGCGTTTCTAAGCCGACTGTCCCATTGTAAGTACCAGTCAATGAGCACCTTTAAAATTGGTTAATTTCAGCTTTAAGACCATTTCTTGGGAACAGTTGGCAAGCACCCATTTCGTGGAGTCTAAATACAAAAAAACGTACAGCTTGTAATCTTTTTTCGATTTAAAGCTTTCGTGACTGCAGGGATTCATCTTCTTGGTTCCTTCTTTTATTTTATTATTTCCCTTCTACGTGACTTTACCGAAAGAACCAAGAAGCTTGTAATCTGTTTGCCTTCTGCAGGTCTACCTCTAATTAACTTTTTCAAAGCTACTGTGAAAAAATCATCTTGGTTCATTTGGACGTAATTAACATTTGCATCGTCGAGTAACATTTCATCTTTTAGCATGTTCCGAGATGGATTTTACGTTATGGGCACATAATAATGAATGTAACTTGTGATTAGTCACTTATATTAATGGTAAATTCATGGTAAATTAGTGGACACTCAGAGTCAGTTTTCCTTTGGGATTTTTCTTTCATTAATCTTTTGCTGTTCGTATTTTTTGTTTTTACTCTTTGAGTACTATGTAAAAATCGGATTCTTTATTCATACTGGAGGAATCCAATGAGCTATAAAACTCTTCTTCACAGATGTGTAACAAATTAAAACCCTGACTGCCTAACTAACAGTCGCACTTTTTTAAAAGAATCAAGGTTTTGTTATCAAGTATATTTCATATCATTAATACATTATTAAAATTGAATTTCTGTGAGAAATGTAAATTGTATTGATTTTCAGAGGAGTCAATATATCTTTTATTCCAAATATTGCAGTCTGTATTTTGTAGAAACTATAACCAAGGACCAACCTCTTGAAATAAAAATTTAACAAAAAAACGAAAACATGAAATATTTTTTTTATACATTTTCAAAATAAAACAATGGAATTAAAAAAATCCAGTGCAATCGTTAAAACTAAATAGTCTAAACGCCCTAAAAACATACACACATATGTAACAAATAAAAACAAGGCACAGTAACAAATGATGAAACGTTTAGGGAAAAAAACCCATGTTTTGAGTATCACGTTACTTAAGTAAATTGCACCTTTGAAAATAAGATGGTTCAAGTTTTTTTCTGTCTCTTTTACAACTTGTATTTTAAAAGTCAACAAAAAAAAGATGACACGAACTAAAGCTGTTAATTATGCTTATTTGATTTGTGCAAAAATCCACTTGTTAGCAAGTCACCTTTTTTATGGACAGATTACTTCTCGTCTTTTTGTTGTTGTTGATTTGACGCCTTCAAAATAATAAGTTATTTCTTCATGATACGATATATGCAGTATCCCCATAGCCAATAATTTGTCTACATTCTCTCACACCTGGCGGGAGAGAATAAGAAAAAACACCCAATTCCAACAAATCCCTTCCCATGCCGTTCCGACAATGATGTCAACGATTCCCTCACGTTCATTTTTTTGCCGTAAAATGAAAAGCGGCTCGCTGTTACACTGTATAGTTGTGCAATCTCAATGGCGACAATCCTGCCGCGTGCTGATGATACAGCGAACGAAGTCGGCCGACGTTTCTCCTCGGAGATGTCGTTTGCTTGCAGGTGCGCGTTGTGCAGTGTTCTCTGTGCCTCTGTGTTTTTGCTTTAGAGCATTGCGAAACAGAAGCAGCATTTCAGTGCATTTCTACACGTAATGTTTTTTTTTCCTGTTTAAAAACAAAAAAACAGCTGTACTTCTTCAGCACTGGGTGATGTTGACAAAACAGAAGCACAGTCATGTGAATATTACAGTCTTACGTGCAACTTGTGGTCTTGAGTGATTACGCAAAGCGCAGGTTTTAACACCTGAAAAAAAAGCAGTGAGGTAGAACTTAAAAACCTCTGTAATGGCCACTCACGATGCAGCTGAGGAGACTATTATTGTAATCCCGTGGTCGACAACTTGGCAGATGTTACATATACACAGATAGGCAGCGCTTGAAGTCCTCAGTGAAACAAGATGGAGACGGGCAAGTGGTTATTACGTGGACAGTGTGAGGACAACAATAATCGACTCTCCAAGAACGAATGCCACTAGCGCATTTTGGTTGGGCCATTTTTCTTTTTTAAATCTCAGCATCTCCTCGGGGTGTGCGCGCCAGCCACCTCAGCTGATGAGCTTTGGTAGGCAGGTCCTCTGTGGGTACATGAGGCCCTCCACGTCCTCCGAGTGGATGATCTTGATGCGGGGCCGGTTTGGCGAGAGCGTCTCGGGGAAGAGCTTGGTCACGATCTCAGTCTGCACGTACGAGGCCACGGGCAGGTACTTGACGGTGACCGTCTTCTCTGTGAGGGCCGGCGCCGGCATTGGCGTGGCAGCCGCCGTGGGGTTCAGGGGTCGCCGGCGCAGCCAGGGGTGCTTGAGGGCCTGGCTGGGCGTCAGGCGCGTGGCTGGGTCCCAGTCCAGACACTTCTTGAGGAAGTCTATGAAGAGGTGGTCATCGCAGCCTGCAGGGGCAATGGGAAACAAAGCGGTGTTAGATTTGTTGACGAAATCGTCGACAGTGATGTACGTCAACGAAGCGATATTTTACTTTACTCAACGATGACGATGGGTGGACGGATATCTTCAAGCGTGACGGCAGGTTACGGCTAACTGAATCGAACATCAAAGTGTGACTGACTATTTACGAGAGAAAATGAACAAGTCTGAATGAAGACGCGGACTATAATAATTTAGCATTGTTATTCGAGACTGCAATGCACTGATGAGGAAGACCAAAACAAGTGATTGGCTGTATGTGTATATAAAACATTTACTGAGTTTCACTGATTAGCTTCCATGATAATATTGTGCGGAAGGGGAGAGGATTAGTCAGATTAGATTAGGGAGAGAGGATATATATATGACTGCTTTGGTCGGCAGGACTAACAGTAATGCTCGATTAAACATTGCGCAGGCAGTCGTCGACTAGACGCAACGCTCTGGCTAAAATAAAAACTGCTGACTGAATGAACACGAGGGACGAGCAAGGGCGCAGGGAAGGGCAGAGAGGCGCGCTGGTCTCATTGATTGGTCGTGCTTCTCACATGGCAGTGTTTACGTGCGTGCGGCCCTGACAGCACACGCGCCAGAGGCCCCGTTTAATAGTGCACCGATCGTCATGCCATAACATTTTCATGGATTTCTAATGAGATACATTTGTAAACGAGTGGCAGATTGTACAACTTAATTGATTTTTTTTTATAAACACGTTCCTGGCAGACATTCAACAAACAGTGCATATAAACGCGTACAATTTACAAGCATAAGTGTATATGCTTGTACATTTTTACGAGTGAGATTAGTTTACGATCATTACCATTCTATTTGACATGTTTTATCTTTTTACAAAAACAACACGTGCTGGATTTCATGACTATATTCACTTGCTTGGAAAATTCAACTTGGGTTTCAGCAAAACGTATTTCACTACTGTTCAGCAAATTATGTGTAAAATAATTTGTATGTATTTCAAGCTTTACACCTAAAAAATACATTGTACACGAAGTTATTGTAGTACCGTGTACACAGTCATGTAAATATGCATGGGGAGGCCTTCATCCAGCAATAAAATGACAAAGGAATATAAAAAATATACATTAAGTGTAACGATTGCAGGGTTTGTGTGAATTGCAATACATGCGGCGAACGTGTACTTGAATAACCATTCTCAAAGGACCTTACTCATATGTTGGACAGTGGCACATGTCCTGCAGTTGAAACAGACATGAATGTATAAAAACGTGGAAACCTCAGAAAATGTCATTGGTGATACAATTACGACTTTCTGTATAATTGGAGAACACTCTAATTGTGCTAATAATAGTGACGTGCGATAATAATAGCTGAGACGCATCTGGCTGTTATTTCCACACAGCCATGCCTCCTCACGACTCTCAATAGGCTCCAAGATGAGGCTAATTAAACAATTATTGGTCTCCAGCATTTCAAAACTGTACACATCCCTCCTTAACGCCATGGAAGCGCCTGCACATTTTAGAGGAGTCTGCTGAATTCTGTGAGCGGAGCACATTCTGTTCCGAAAAGTCTACCTCTTCTGAATACCAATCATTTCAAATGGCAGATGCGTGTCCAAGGCTGGCATTTAATGAGCAATTCAAAACATTCGTGTCGTGAATTTCAATTGCCCGCAGGTGTAGCGACAAACAGCGCTTATGCTTCTTCTTGGTTCTTTCGGTAAAGTCACGTAGAAGGGAAATAATAAAATAATAAAAATAAAGCATAATAAAATACAATTCTCACGACGTTTCGGCCACAACGCAAGCAGCCGTCCTCAGGTGAAGAACAGGGCTGTCGGAAAGACAGCGTCTGAATGAACACCACCAAGCTTGGCAGCGTATATTTAAGCTGGGTTAGAGGAGGAGGGCGCCTTGACAAAGGAATTTGCATATCATATGATATCATTCAGATGCTGTCTTTCCGACAGACCTGTTCTTCACCTGAGGACGGCTGCTTGCGTTGTTGGCGAAACGTCGTGAGAATTCTAATTTATTTTGTTTAATTTTAATTATTTTATTATTTCCCTTCTACGTGACTTTACTGAAAGAACCAAGAAGATTAATCCCTGCAGTCACGAAAGCTTTAAATCGAAGCGCTTATGCTTATTAAGCCCATGCTGCCAAGTTGCCAGCTGAAATCAATCTACGTATACGCACTTTGTAAAATCAGAGAGGCATCTGTGCGTCATTCCTGAAAACGCATTATCTCAAAATGAGTTAAAGGGCGACCTTTTAAGTTTTTTGTAGTTATTATCAGAGAACACACTGTTCGGTATGGAGTCAGGGGCAATGCATGGTTCGAATTTGTGATATCCATCTCGGGGCGATGTATCTATCGCTTCGGCTCACATCAAAGGGAAACACCTCACTGCAAGATATCCCAACAACTGCAGGAGCGCAGCTATCTTGAGAAAAAGATTGCGAGATTAACGTCAGCCTTGTCAGCCTCACATGTGTGAGTTTGTTTCATGAGAGCCTAAAATTGAGCGCAACTGCATTGCAGGGCTGAACGAATCACTTACACCCAAATATTCTGGTCTGCGTGGCTTCAGTTACCGACTTCATAACAAATTATGATGTATAACTGTAAGTCAGTCGTGTCGAAATCGGCACGTTTTCCTTCGCGAATTTACAAAAGGTAATTTCTGCATACGGAGCCGTGGAGAGAATCCGTTCATTCGCGAGAATTGGGCCTGCGTTAATCACATTTGCGATGCATTTTAAAGATACTCTGCAGCTTTCACCACACCGCAGAATCGTGTTAGTGGTGGCTTCATGCGTATTAATCCAGAATGTGAAGTGAACTCGCTTTGATCCTGTTTTTTTACTGTAAAATAACTTTGCCAGGGGGGGAGCAGATGACTGAAATCCACAGAGACGGGGGCGTTGGCAATTCCTACATGGAGACCTCGCTGTCAGAAATGCTCTGTGCTCAGCACACAGAAAAAAATAGGACACGGGGTGATGTCATGTACAGAGAGAACTAGGAATATTTAATTGTTTATTGTAGAGATAGTGATACTACTAATTTACAACCATCTGTTATAATACACTACTGGGCTAAGGCTTCTTCATGCCTTGTTAATTCGGTTGTTTGACCATACTTCACCACGCTGGTCAGTGCGTATTGGTGAAGGATTAGACGTGTACATGCTTCTGATATCACCTCGCCACTGACGTTAACAGTGATGAAAGATTAAAACGCAGGTCTCTGGATTGACAGCGCAATGTGCTAACCATTGTGCCACTGCTCCACACTATGCCCCTTTTTTATCAATGAAAGCCTCATTGGGTCTTAAAACTTGTTTTTATTCCATTCACGAGTTAGTTGGACTATGGGAGAAAATTAGAATACCTAGAAACCCATGCATTCAAGGAGACAACCCTCAAACGGTCACACAGATGGATTAAATCCATTGCTGTGTTTAAATTTTCCTGGCCACCTCACAGGCCAATTTTTTATATTTCATGTAACTTTTAGTCACTATTATGGAATTAAAATTCTCCAAATCAAAAACCTGGCAATAAATCGCAAGATCAAACCTCCGCTAAAGCAGAGGGCATCTTACGTATTTTTGGGGACGCAGTCTTGGTATGTGTGCGTTACTTCGACGTTACTCGACGTTTAATCACGTGTATTCGTGTGTGTGTGTGTGTACGTATCGATATCTATGGGACCTTTTTGCCAGTATCAAAATGATGGGGAAAAAATGAGAATAGGCTTTCACCTTTCTGGCAATAAAACAGGCGTTTCGATGTTCAAACGCCCAATAGATACCTATTGCGAGGTATCAGGTATGCATTAACCACACAAACTTGTGGCAAAACATACAAACAAGTGTGCTCTGATTATACTATATGCATTGGTTTTGAAACCGATTGGCCTACACCAGCGACAGTGTGTATCAAGTTTGTCAACGTCAGCATTAGGAAGACAGGCATCTGGGTGTGCATGGCGGTGGTCCCACCACCATCTCATCCGTCACACCAGTCATAATATCTCCTAATTTTCAAGCTTGCGTACCGTACCACGTCGTCGTCCACTCATTGACATGCTAATTTTTTCTCTGCCCCCTCCCTCTCTCCGCCCCTGCCCCCTCTCTATATTTAAGGCCTCGTCACAGAGACGATCCCTCTCTCTTTGTGCCGATACGCGCTCTCTCTCTATGTATCTTTATGATGTCTGTCTGCTTATATGTCTGTCTATAGTTTTCTGGTTAGATTTTTGTTGCTATTTCCTTTATACCTGATGATGATTGTTTGTGTTGCAATCGAAACGTCGTAGTATGCTATTATTTAATTTATTATTTTATCTTTATACGTGACTTTACCGAAAGAACCAAAGAATAATTCCTGCAGTCACGAAAGCTCAAAAATTAAGATAGTCATAATACACGCTGACGACAAACACCTGTCCCACCAGACTACACGGCCAGACAGGACATCTTTAATATGCATGCATATGCTGCCCACACATTATTGTGGGACTGCCCGTATACTGAAACATTACAAATCTTTAACGCGCTGTAAATAAAATATAATCTAAAAGAAATGTGAGTGCGTCCTGAACTATAATGTTGCTGTGGAATCTTGGCCAAAACAACATGAAGCATTGATCGAAATCTGCTCACAACACAAATGTAATTCCTCAAGAGAATAAAACATCGCCTCACATATCACAAGTGACATGATGATTAAAGACACGACGATAAGAGGTAGGTTAAGAGAAGAAGCATCTGAGTGCTAGCTGACACGTAAGAAGCCAAACTAAGTTGATACGGGCATTGGGTGAGAAAGGGTTCAGATCAGATTTTTCATGAAGTATTTTGAAAAAGATTAAGAGGGGCAAGGGAATTGAGGGCAACCAAAATGAATGTGGCTGGACTGTCAGGCAGAACCTGAAGACAATTGGGGTGAGATTGGACCAAGGAAGGAGCACTGCAAGAGACTGGAACAAGATGGACGAAGCTGACAAAGAGCCCGACCCCAGCTAATGGCAATTCAGGGAAGTAGGAGAATAGCGCGTTGTATGCCTGCGTGCACACACACACAATGCAATATTATTCTCGCACTGCACGCGAAGAAAACGCACAGATACATTCTGCTTGTATTCTGCATGTTGGGAATATTGGGTAGAAGACAATAAAAATATAATAACTTTATCGGTACCGAGGCTCCCACAAGGCCATGCAGCAGGTGCGTGCGGCACAGTTTGGCGCCAGCTATCCTACAGCGTGGTCGTGTCGCTAGCCCTGCAACTCGCACACATCTCAGAACAGGAAAGGGTTAACATCATTCCACCGCGCTCGCACGCTAAGAGATGCGCGCGACCTCACCCTTGAGGGCCGTGGTCCAGTCGCGGCTGGAGGGGGGGCCGCGCATCTTCCCGCGCCGCGTGCGCCCCCCGTTGAGCACGACGGAGCCGCCGGGCAGCGTGGTGATGGTGCAGTAGCGCGGGTGGCCCAGCGAGCTGAAGAACTGGCGCGCGCGCTTGCTCTGCTCGAGGAGGCGCGCCGGCGGGGAGCCGGCCAGCTCCATGGCGCAGGCCAGCTGGTCGCCCTCGTCCTCGCCGGGCAGCAGCGGGCTGCCCGTCAGCAGCTCGGCCAGGATGCAGCCCAGGCTCCACATGTCGATGGGCAGGCCGTAGCGACCGCCCAGCACCACCTCAGGTGCACGGTAGAAGCGCGACTGGATGTAGGTGTACACCCGCTGGTGCTCGTAGCAGCTGGAGCCAAAGTCGATCACCTGCGTGGCAGGGGGGGGGGGGGTTCCGTCACACGCACGCACACACACGAAAGTCCGATTAGCTCGTTTATCAAATTCATATTTATTAAAAAATTGTGCTCGTCTTGCAAAACACTCGCAGACCAAGCATATTTGCAATCCAAGGTTTTACTGTTATAGGAATGTTTTCAGATCCTATAGGTATCGTGGATCATGCGGGTAATAGGGTCATGGGTAATAGGGTCATGGGTAATAGGGTCACGGGTAATAGGGTCGTGGATAACCGGAGTACTCCTGTCATAGCAATGGGCGGGCAAAGGTTTGACCTGATTTTGTCATGGTGAATGTCAAATACAAGCGTTGTGTCTGGCAGCTGTGTGTGTGTGTGTGTACACAAGCTTCACTTGCTGTGGGAATTAACGTTTGTTAACTTTGCCACCATGCCTCCGCGGTTGGCTACGTACGGTGCAAAAGAAGTTCAACGTACATATACGCATGCATGAGCTGCGGTGGTTAATAAAGAGCAAAGCTCGGATGTCTCAACGTTTAAGTGATCGATTATCCGTCCGCTGATTTGTCGGTCAGATGGCTCGAGAGTAGTCGTGGAGAGAAATATCTTCGCCTCTGTTCCCGTGTGTGCCACTGGATGGGAGGCAATGGGTGTGGCTTGATGATGTCATCACGATAATCAGCTGATGATGTCATCACGATAATCAGCTGATGTCATCACGATAATCAGCTGTGCCAAGGTGTGTGTGCCTTGTAGGGGGTTTCCCACATTTGGCGGGCAGTATGTGGTCCTGAGTACAAGCAAAGAATTCTGCACCACTTCTGAAAAAGAAACTGCGTGATAAACCTCACGAACGGCCTCATGCAGTTCTGAGCCCTTGCTTTTGGCTTGCTCGTTGTTTTGTCGGTGTTGTTAAAGTTCTAGAAGCTCCCACAGGACCCAGCTGTTGAGAGCAGCAAAAACATTTAAATAAAGAATATGGCGGAGTGGGATTAAGTCACCTGCACAGGCTTGCAGGTGACTCAATGTTCGCCGAAGGAGGGTTTGAAACACACCCCCCCGAGACAACTTGGCACAGAAGAGATTGGCAGCGTCATAAAAAAATGGGAAACACGGTTAACAACTGATGAATCACGAGGAGCTGATGTGCGTCGTCTGCATTTCTAACCACCGCAAAAAAAACTCTTTCAACACACCTGCATTAATCACAGCTAGATGTGCACGGTGAATACGGAAATGTGAGGATGATATATTCACACCTAATGCACCTAACAATATAAAAAATTTCGATTTAAAGCTTTCGTGACTGCAGGGATTCATCTTCTTGGTTCTTTCGGTAAAGTCACGTAGAATGGAAATAATAAAATAATTAAAATAAAACATAACAAAATAATTCTCACGACGTTTCGGCCACAACGCAAGCAGCCGTCCTCAGGTGAAGAACAGGTCTCAAAAGAACAGGTCTCAACAGACCTGTTCTTCACCTGAGGACGGCTGCTTGCGTTGCGGCCGAAACGTCGTGAGAATCATTTTATTATGTTTTATTTTGCGTTGTGGCCGAAACGTCGTGAGAATTATTTTATTATGTTTTATTTTTATTATTTTATTATTTCCATTCTACGTGACTTTACCGAAAGAACCAAGAAAATATAAAAAATATGCATCTCATGTCCATGTAAATTTCGGTTAGATAGTTCAGTGCTTGCTAATGCTGATAGAAGATTTCTAAGGTGTACAGCAGCATTAAGTACTTAATGTCTTGTATTACAAAAACACCATTACATATTTTGCAAGAAGATTTTGATGAATAATTCATTTCATTACAGCCCTTTGCCAATCCACTTCTGGATGTAGGCCTCTCTGTGCCATGTCGGACACAGGGGTTGTTTTCACCATATTTCACCGCTGTGTCGGTGTGAGTGGGTGAAGTGGTTGGGGCAGCCAAAGACTCGTTCAGTTATCAATGTTGGCTGTGGCAGGTCACGAGGTTCATAGCTGAGTGCGATAACTAGTGCTCAACACTCCAGCCCTTGATCTGATTAAGCAGATATTTATTCCTCAATGTATGTGACACATACTACAGGTGATTCGATAACCCAATGAGCAACATGATTTTCCGTCTCTGTTGCTAAAGCCGCTTGGCAATAATCTCAACATCCGTGCTTTCAAAAGCCGTAATTTGTGGTCAGCGGTGTTCTTGTTTGTACGGTTAGAGAATAAATCGAGTTGAAAGTTGCGTTGTATTATGGTCAAATGACCTTGAAAATGCTATTTGGAGACACACCATGTTTATCCGAGATGACCAGAAAAGACCCCAGTAACGTAGGACTTGTATGAATTATAACATAATCTATTGAAGTGCACAGTTTCCACTGACGGTACATTATTATTTCGGCAGTAAAGGTGTAAACGTACTAATGAATCATGAGCATCGTTGCAATCTCCCAAGATGGAAAACACATGAATGACTTCTGGGTCCCAAGACACTTAATTTAATCCGCGGCTCATACAGATGACGTAAGTGGGTTAAGGAAAATTTGCAATTATTCTGTAATGTGACCTGGGCTCGCGTGACACCCGACTAATTTTCGGCATTCAACCCCACAGGCAACGCTGACGTAGCTCACGATTAGTCATTTCACCTGGGATGTCAATACGACGGAATAAGAGGCAAGGAAATTTTTTTCAGATGGCCAAAGGTAATTTGAATATTACACCATCCCATGATATTTTCTTCGGAATTGGTCCAGTCATCGGTTGTGGTGTCTGTAAAGTTTCCTCTATGATGCACACTAATATAAATACACTTAAATACATGATCCGGTGAAATGTACTTGATTCTATATAATCAAAATAGTTTTTGAATTGAATGCATTTTTCACATCTCATAAAAAACTGCTTTTTGATCTAGAATTGAATAACAATAATCATTTCTTGACTTGAAGCTTTCGTGACTCATTCTTTGGGTCTTTCGGTAAAGTCACGTACGACGTTTCGATCACAACACAAGCGGTCGTCATCATTTTCCTGATGACGATCACTTGTGTTGTGATTATTTTTGTTATTTCTTTGAACCTATCTACGTGACTTTACGGAAAGACCCAAAGAATAATAATCATTCCCACGTCAATGTCTTTCCAAAGCCTCAGGACTCCTTTTAAGGAGAGTTCTGTTTTGGATACTTGGCCACGTTCCTACTAGTTTTGCAAGGCACCATCATAGACTACCCTAATGCATTTGTGTGAGATTAATGCTTTTGCCAAGAACATCTGGTAGCCCAGCAGCATTTGTATAACAAGCCTGACTTGGCTGATGAGCTCCAGAGTGTTTAAACCAGTCGAGTTTGCTTGCTTGAACAAATGCTGTTGAATAATATTGGTCTGAAAAGCCAAGAGGTCGATGGACGAAAAACTATTTTTTTTGTTTAATTATAGGCATTGATTTGAAAAAATTCCAACACGTGGTGTTGGTACTGGTGGCTTAGACAGCACCGCTGAGATTTTGGCTATCAGGCCCTGCGTCTCCGTACGTGTGCGTGTGTCTCACGTGGGGAGCGGTAGTGCAGCGGTTAGCGCGCTGCAGTATGAAACCGGCGACCGGAGATCGATTCCCGCTCACCTTCAACACCAGTGACGATTATCTGTACCTGTCCTGGGCCTCCCCTAGGTCGACTCAGCCTCAAATAAGTACCCGGTTGCGGTGTGCAGTAACTATCGCTACTGGGGACACAAAGGCGGTCGGGCGTGGTGCTAGCCATCCACCCCCGTTGTGTGCCGTACCGGCCTTCACAGGTGCCACTCGCTGACAGTACTTGCCCCTACAGTCTGTTAAGGCTATATGGCTGACGTTTGTCTTTTGTGCGTCTCACTCTCCATCTCAGGGAGCTTCGTAATGCCCGAGCACCGCACGCGCCGCACCTTGATGCCGCTGCGTCCCTGCTGGCGTAGCAGGATGTTCTCGGGCTTGAGGTCGCAGTGGATAATGCGGTTCTTGTGCAACGCGTTGAGGCAGAGCAGGATGGAGTGCGCAAACTTGCGCACCACCTGCAGGCTGAAGCCTTGGAACTTGTTCTTCTTGATGAGCTCGTAGAGGTTCATGCTGAGCAGCTCGAAGGTCATGCAGATGTGGTTGCGGAAGTTGAAACTCTCGAGCATGTGGATGACGTTCATGGTGTTCTCCTTGTCCTGCTTCTTGAGGTGCTCCAGGATGCGGATCTCCTCGGCCGCCTGCCGGTGGAAGCGCTTCTCGTTGCGCACCATCTTGAGCGCCACGTACTGGTGCGTCCGGTGGTCGTAGGCCTTCACCACCTGGCCGAAGCTGCCCTTGCCGATGACGCGCAGCACCTCGTAGCGGTAGGCCACGTGGTCGTGCGGCACGTGGATGTACGAGCCCTGCTCGTCGTCGAAGCCGTTGTTGTTGACGCCGCTCAGCGTCGCCTGCCGCTTTTTGGCGCTGGGCCCCACGAAGTACACCTCGTGGTAGTTGAAGATCTCGTGGTGCTCGAACATGCTCAGCCTGTGCATGTACTTGCGCATCGCCTGCTCGGGCGACATGGCCGTCGAGTGGGGCTTCGGGGAGCCGTCGTCCGGACGCGGGGACCCGGGCACCGCGTCGTGCTGCGTGGCGGCCGCCGCCGCCGCCGCCGCGCGCAAGCAGCTGCCGAGCGCGGGCCGCTCCATCTGGAGGCTCTTGAGGCCATTGGCGAGGCTGCCGAGGTCGGAGGCGAGCAGGCCGCGCTTGGCATGCGCGTCCTCGTACAGCGGCTGGATGTGCACCGGCCGCGGCATGCCGGAGAACATGTGATCCGTGAGCCTCGCGTTGTTGTTGTTGCGGCCAACCTGCGGGGAGGTCGAGAGAGGGATTGGGAGAGGAAAGGACGATTTAAATCGAGCCCTGCAGCTGTCCATTTAGACGGTTTAATTTATTTACAACTAAACTACAAGATGCCCCAGATGTCTTGTGACCCCCATTTAATTCTCTAAAAACTTTAGATTTTTTTTAAGCAAGATGTATTTAACACAGAAATGAACATGCAATGGGAAAATATGTTACGGGTCACATCTTTGCCCGTTCTTTCATCATCATCATCAGCCATGGTCAATCCACTGCTGGATGAAGGCTTCCTAGTCACCACGCCTCTTGATCAAGCGATGCAGTAGCCAACTTGGCACCCGTGCGTGAGCTGATTTCATTGCTCCATCTCCTCGGCGAATTTTACATTGGATGCATTCTATTCATTCTGGATGGCACTGTAACGATATTAAACATTGGCCTCTATCCCTTTTTATCTTGCCAGGGTGCCACTCAAAATGTAAGTTTCCTATTATGAAGATCACTGCTTCCTCGATGTATTCATTTGCCTTTGAAACTGAACCACTGCAAGTTCAGTGATAATCCCTCAATATTTACTGGCTGTTCGATGGAGTTGAAAAGTGCATTACAGTCATTATATGCATAGGTATAGTGTACGCATGGATGCAGAGAGGAATAGAGGATTCCTGAGCAACCTGCATATATTAACATATTATATTGAAAATTTTGCTCCAAGGAAACTGACACTTCCATTTCCCATACGCACACTGAGTGGTACCATAATCTCGCTGAGACTTGCCCATCTTTAGGAACATGAAAAATCTATCTGTGCATCATCCCACAAAGCCATGTCCATGTTGTCGGATGACAATAGGGCGGCTACCGGGCCCTCTGGTTTCGTAAACACGTACACCTCCTGAAGGTGTGTTGAGTAAACAACAATATGCGCAAGCACGCACACACACAAAATACAGCCGAGCCCTAAGAGAGAAACTTGAGCACGTGTTATTTTGTTTAATATTGTGTCACGTACAGTTTGTACTTTGCCTCGTAGGCAAAGCACAAAGAGTGACAGGAGAGTCGTGCTCTTCAAGCTTCACTGCCTGTTACGTGTTGCAACGGAGGATGGGGGGGGGCAGTGGCGTAGCAGTCAACGCACTGCACTATGAATCCGGCCACCCGAGTTTGATTCCCAGCCATGGTTAGCATCACTGGTGGTGGTCTTGGGAAGCCCTCTCCGGAACCCCCACCCCTTCACCAATCCTACTGATGTATGGTCACAACAACCCCATAATCAATACGGTGTGGACAGGCCTCAACCAGCGGTGGGATGACAGTGCTGTAAATTATCATATATCGTAAATACATCGAAAATCCAGGGATTTTGCCGATACAGTAAAATCTATTTTAAATAACGACATTTTAAAAACTAAATAATGAGCAAAACCTCGGACAGGGCAAACCGGCTTGGGTATGACCTGAGTCATGAGACCGGTTTGTGGCTGAAGAAATATAAAATAACCAAGCAAGCAGATGCCTGCCTATTGTCTGAAACTTGAAAATGAAAACGACCCGCAGACATGACCGATGGGCAGACGTGACAGCCATGAGCAAGCCTGCGTCATCCTGAATCTGAAAACATTCGAGGTGTACACTCTTACAGGTGAGTTAGGCGTCACGAGGTGGTGCCGTCTTATTTCTGTGTTGGCGCAGTACGGATAATTACATACATTGTGGCAGGCAGGGCATCAACTGATTGTATGTTGTCTCAGCTCAACGTACTATATGTTCGACTTCTTTCGCACCGTACGTAGCCAACCGTGTTAATCGGAGCTCAAAGGTCTGACATTGACATTGGAGTTCTATTAAATAAGCAAACAAAACAATCCACATTGATCATTCACAACTACAGTATATGAACTACGAGTTAAGTCAGAGACGAATACTTTGATACTATTTTACAAGGCCCATATGTTATGGGACTGCACATAAAATGTTACGTACATTTTGTTTTTCATTTTCCTTCTACAGGCATACTATCCTATATAATGAGCAGTACAATAATATCACACATTCGTCATTACCTGTCACATTTTCACAACTGAGATATCGGTTTAAATTAAACTCTTAAGACCTACTCTTCGATATGAGCAGTAAAATAATATCACCCACCTATCATTACCTGTCACATTTTCACAACTGGGATATCGGTTTAAATTAAACTCTTAAGACCTACTCTTCGATATGAGCAGTAAAATAATATCACCCACCTATCATTACCTGTCACATTTTCACAACTGGGATATCGGTTTAAATTAAACTCTTAAGACCTACTCTTCGATATGAGCAGTAAAATAATATCACCCACCTATCATTACCTGTCACATTTTCACAACTGGGATATCGGTTTAAATTAAACTCTTAAGACCTACTCTTCGATATGAGCAGTAAAATAATATCACCCACCTATCATTACCTGTCACATTTTCACAACTGGGATATCGGTTTAAATTAAACTCTTAAGACCTACTCTTCGATATGAGCAGTAAAATAATATCACCCACCTATCATTACCTGTCACATTTTAAAAACGGTGGAATAATTATAGAATAATAATTTATTAAGAGCATAACATTCATGTACGCAGTCATAATATAACATAAAAAAATTGGGGTTAGATCGGGCAAATAGAAATGTGTCGTTTACGCGATCTAACCCCAAAAAACGTTATTATGGATAATATCGTACGTTTAAATATAATATGGCAGATAGTCGACAAAAAAACAGTAAGTGGGACTTACCCTCATTCTTTGGTTAGCCATGGGTACGTTCCAATTCCGAACTTGTGTTTTGAGCTAAAGAGCATCTCTCGTCAATATATAAGGCGCGTGGCATACTCCCTCAGCATTTTACGCCCCTTGTGATGAACTTCCTTTTCGAAATAGCATGTAATTGGTAAGCCGGGTCACACAATAGCTCATTGGTCACAAGCAGTAGCCAATCGTGTCTTGTTGCCCGCAGTGGTATGCAAGTCTGCAAATTACGCAACGCATAGAAGACATACGTGCGGTGGACCGCTCTAACTGGTCTTTCTTCTTAAAGTTTCCACTTAGTGTGCAACAGAGAGAGGTGGCATCTGCCCTGTGAATAAACGCATCACGATTGCCAAAGGTTCATCACAGAATTAGAAGCATTAAATGTGAAAAGTTGAAGAGGCTGCACCACATTTGCATTCAACGTGCTTAAGAATAACTGACTGAAGTATGCAACGGATCAAGTTGACATTCGGACACTGTTGTCTCGTATGGGTCTTCCTTTTACCATCGGCTGAAAATTGCAGCCAGTGGGCACGACACTTTGATGCGTCTTGCTGGGGTGCCCAGTCTTGGGTATAATTATTTATCGTTGCGTGAATTAAACTTTTAAAATACCATCGCAATACTTGCCGAGTGCCTTTTTTGCACATCAAAGCAGCACGATGCCCCTTTTTGAAACAACAGTGGCCATGGCTCACGGAGACGAGAGACAGAGGAGAGGCGTTATTGTGTTCACACTCTGCAGCTGTCAACGGGGACCTCCTTTATGGCAGGCAAGCTTCAGTTTTCGCTCGAGAATGACTTACGGCAGATTGAGCCTCGCCAGTGAGCATATGCCCAATTGAGTTTATGTTCGTGAGTTGTGGCAATGCTGAGCAGATCTGTCTTAAATTCAGCGATGCCCAGGTCTTGACTTACAGGAGCAATGGATACACATATTTAGAAAGTATACGAGGACCAAGGTAATTTGACCTAGGTCACGTGTCTCAATGACCTGGATTTGGATTAACTGGAACACAAGGATTAGCCTCCTGCTGTTCATCAATGAGTGCCAAGGGATCTGTCGTGTTCGCGTTGCAGTCAGGTCCCGACTTAAAGGTGAATGACATTGCCCCTTGCAGAGAAGTGTTCCCAAGTGCATAACTGCTCTCATTCTGGCCGAAAGGGGCGAGTGTTCTGGAAGGGGTAAGAGTAATCCTCATGTGCCACGGAGGTTCCTCATATTAAGTATTCGCTTCTAACAGCCAATATGGTCAGGTTCAACACACGGGCAAAAGCACATACGAGGTTGCAATCGTGCCATTGCAGCATGCCATGCGTAGGTTAACTAATTATGGGTTGTTGGCGAGGCTTACGGGTAAAGCATATATAAGCATGACTGCATTATGTCGTCACGTATAAAGTTCTGCTTATATATTTACTTTTCCCCCATAATGATAGATTCCCCATAATGATATACAACAATGCAGAATGGGTTTGTATAAAATATTGGTTTGTGCGTCGATTATTTTTTTACTCAACACATTTGTCAACACGTTCGCGTTTAATAGGGAAGCATAGTTTACATGAAGTGCTCTCTCCAATAAAATATGGTAACCAAGGAGCTTTTGTTTAACAAGCTAGACTGTTGAACAAAACCCATAGGCCCAAAGTGGTCCCGAGTTTGCTAGCTTAATTAAATGCTGCTGGATGATATTAGTCTCGAAAGGCAGTAGGCCAATCGACTAAAACATATTATTGTATCTATGTGTGGGGAGAGAAGGTTTTGTCTGTGCTTTTACCCATAATGCTCCAAAAAAACACGTAGATTATCTCACACATGGCATGCTATAATGACATCATTGCAACCTCTACTTTCAAAGAGCATCATTATTGCCCTATAAATAATGCATAGCTTAAAAGGCAACCTTTTGTCTGTTGTTAGATTTTAATAAACATTCATGATTTATTCATCGCATTTATTATTAATTTTATCTTAAGGTGCCATTGTTGGGTTAGGGTCAGTGATGGTGAAACCGGATCTGTAGGCTTCGGCTCACAGATGTCCACAAGTGATAAAAGGTCTGGGAGGGGTGATCGCCGATTGCAAATATGGGGAGAGAGCTTTGGGCATTAACAGCTGCTAAGGTGAAAAACCAGATTGTCCGTGACCCACTTTTGCTGAGTACATAAGGCACAGCGTTGCCATTGTCCATAATATTGTTATGTGC